CACACACACACACACACACACACACACACACTTCAAGCTTGAATCATTAAATGGAACCTAAAACTTCCTAAAAGTTTTACTAAAACTACCTAGGAAAACTTTGCAAAATTACCCACCCTAGAAATTATTGTGCTTGTATCTACTAATTTGTAGAAAAAAAAAAAAAAAAAAAAAACTTGGCTTTTGAGGCACCTTTCAATAGAATAATGCATAAAATTTGATTTTCCTATAAAGGGTAAAAAGAAGCTGTTTGTTTAATTTTGTTATATCAGGTGGAATCCTTCAGGTATTTATCGCTTTGTTTCTAAATATAAGTGTGACAGGCTCTGCTGCCTGTGGTTACACAGGGGATTTTGGAAACAGTTTTGACTCGGGGCATACCCTGTGCGTGGGCCGCACCCACACACTTCATCTCGGCCCCCGCTTACCCTTTTGGGAAGTCCTGATACCTTAAGGAGGAGTTTTTTATTTTTTCAGCTTTATTTTACCATTCTTGGGTCAATGGGGGTTTCCTTCTATCCTCAGCACAACTTTAACTCACATAGTCGGGCAGGGCTATATTGAGAACGTATGTTCTAGAAGGTCGGTTCTCACCTGGGCTGCACATTTATTCACTTAGGAAAACATTTTTAAACATCTGCATCTCAGCCCTCAGCTTGACATTCAGGTTTCATCCTGCTGTCCTGTGTGCATGCTTCTCCCCGCCATCCTAGATCATCAGAAGGGTTTCTCCCAGGCAAAAGTGAGGCAGCCAAAGGAAGGGCCCGGAGCATGAGCGGGGCTGCTCATGGAGCAGCCAGGGCTTCTCCTGATCTGCGCCAGCCCAGGGTTCTCAAGTAGCGGCCCGGGCGATCATGTTGCACTGTGAATTAGGTGATGTGAGAATTTCATCCTGTGTCAGCGCACATCCATTTCTGCTTCGTGATTAATAACTTCTCCAAAGGGAAAGCCAAGTGTGGTGACACACACCTGTGGACTCAGCACTCTGGAGGTAGAGGCAGGAGGGGTGCCGTGGTGGTGAGGTGGGACTGGGCTACACAGCAGGACCCTGTCTCAAAAAACTGAAAACAAAGGAGGGGAGGGAGGGATGGAGAGAGGAAGGCAAGAATGGGGAAAGGTGTGTGTGTGTGGGAGAGAGAGAGAGAGAGAGAGAGAGAGAGAGAGAGAGAGAGAGGCAAGCCTCAAAAGATGTCTCCTCACAGCTGTTTACTACAAGTTTTCCTTCAGAGAAAGGGGTAAGGAGGATAGAATGGAAGGGGCAGAGGAGCAGAGGCAACAAAACAAGGAGTATATATAGATACAAAATGGTCCTTCATTTGTATCCCCTTGTTTAGTTTTGTCAAAGAAGGGTATTCCATTGTCATTTAAATATTATAGATGCATGAATTCAGCAAAATATTCCAATATAGTCCAGTAGTCTATGATAGTAATGGGTCATCTGCAGGACTGGCAATGTCAGAAGTTGTTAACTTGAGCCTTTTATAGCTCAGCATATTAATATGGCTTTACTTTTTATACCTCATTTTTATACTTTTCTACTGGATGGTTAAGACCAAGATAAAGCAAGACCCATATAACAAGAAATGTAACTTTTGTATCTGACAAGGTCAGTCAAATCCCCTCAGGATTTATCCTGAGATCCTGTACCTCAGATTGTAGATCTTTTGTCAGTGTCAGCCATGTGGATGAGTCATGGCCATTGCTTGACCAATTCGCTCTCTGTGAAAGCCTGAGAGAAGGTTTTCTCTCCATGTGACTCTCCTTAGGCACACTCGACATCATCAATCACTTTCTTCTGTGGCCCCATAATCTCCTTGATCAGAAAAATTGGGACACCACT